GTCAAGGAGACTGCCACCAAGACCACCGACAGCGTTTTCTCCATGTTCGGCGGAGGTCCCAAGAAGGAGAAGGTCGAGGTTGAGGATGACAAGGACGAGCCTTCTGGCTCTTCCAAGGCCCAGAAGGCTGAGGAGGAGGTGAGTCAACCCAAAAGTTTCTTTGGTGGATGTGGGAGGAATCACTCGGTGGTTGGGCTTGCGGGTTACTTTTCAGACATACCCCGCTTTAGCCCCTCCATGACGGAGAGGTTCTGAGTTCACATCTTTGTTCTGTCTCTTCCTATTGCTATCCCGCGGGGAACCAGTTTGACTCGATTGTGAGATGAAGCCTTTGACTAACTCGTCACTTGCCTCGACAGGACGAAGCCCCCGAGTCCCCCGATGTTCACTTCGAGCCCGTCATCCGCCTGACGGAGAAGGTCGAGACCAAGACCAACGAGGAGCTGGAGGAGCAGACTTTCAAGATGCGTGCTAAGCTGTTCCGCTTCGACCGTGAGAGCAAGGAGTGGAAGGAGCGTGGTACTGGTGACGTGAGACTGCTCAAGCACAAGGAGAACCAGAAGACCCGCCTTGTGATGCGCCGCGACAAGACCCTCAAGGTCTGCGCTAACCACTACAGTGAGTTTCTGCCTCGATGCCGGAGCTTGGGATCTCTATACACGTTTCGGATAACTGATGGCTTGCTCTAGTTGTTCCCGACATGACGCTCAGCGCCAACGTTGGCAGTGACCGCAGCTGGGTCTGGAGTGCTGCCGCCGATGTCAGCGAGGGCGAGCCCGAGGCTTGCACCCTGGCCATCCGATTCGCCAACAGCGAGAGTAAGTCCTGTTATTTTCTTCAAATGTCCAGGAAATGATATGACTAACGCATGGTTCCAGACGCCAACCTGTTTAAGGAGGCTTTCGAGACGGCACAGAAGGAGAACGAGAAGCTCCTCAACCAGCAGTAAATGCGGGGAATTCCGGCAGCTTCGAATCTTCCCTCCCAGCGGCAAAGTGATATAGAGGGCTATCTTTAATGCACAGTTCGATCGCTCCTTTGCACTACGAATTTGATGTGGACTTCTTTTTCGTCATTTATTGACCTCTCTCTCATCCTCCGCACATGCGGATTCACTTTCCAATAATCCCCATCGACTCTTATTTCTATCTCGTACCTTCTTCCCCTTTCCCTTGACACGATTTGTATTCCTCCGTCCGTGAGGAGACAGAATGATGAGGCCGGCTCTGCCGAGATTCGGAGTCGATGCATGTACAGACAGATTCGACGTGGTTTGACCATGTGGTTGAATGTATGTCCTCTGGCGAATCGGCAGTAGATAGACACCAATTCCCCCAAAATACACGTATGACATTATGAAGTAGAAATATTTGTTTTGGGTGTACGATGACTTTGGCGTGAGGAGTATACAAGGAAGGTGTGAGATTGAATGCATCTCTTAAGGTACTGCAGCGGACAGCCACGAAAATGATTAAGTACCGAAGTAGATGATGAGTTGTTCAGGTCTGAGGAGGGTGCCTCTAAAGTGCAGTAAGTTGGTAGTTTCTCGAGCAGCAAGTACTGAAGTACTGTCTGTAGTAGTCAATCAATCAATCCCCCCGCGCGGAAAGCTCCCCTCCCAGCTTTCTCTTGCTACCTGCTAGCTACCTGCTACCACTTGTGCCTTTATCCCCTTAGCACCTCAGCCTACAGTTTATCTCGTTTCTGAAATTGAATTGAGATTCAATCTCAGTTAAGTCTACAGTGAGCCTGAGGAGTAAGAAGGGGGACCGACCTTGCAGCCTGAATCAGATCCCATCGCGGCAAACACCCGACCTCAACTCCGCCTTGATTCGTCGCGCCTGCTCGAGCCCGATTGCTCTCCGTCTACTTCCTCCCAAAACAACCGGTCTGCCACCACCTCCAGACGAAGGGTTCCAGCCAAGCTCTCGATTCACTCAATCCCTCACTTCCTGTTTTTCCGCGCAATCAACTGAAGCCTATTCACAACGATGCCCGACGTGAGTCCGCCGCCTCCTCCGTTCCTGAGCCTTGCGAGCGAGCGAGCGAGCCATTGCTCGCTCGACTCGTCACGCGCGGATTCTGAGCCCCGGACAAGACATTGATTGCAGCGCGCTGACCCAGCTCCTCTTCTTATAGGTCAAGCGAAATGTCCGTCTGGTGACGGAGCAGCACATCCTGTACGTTCCTACACCTTAGCCTCTGGTCTTTACCTGAGCTTAGCTCGGAGTCACAACCACCTCACCATTCAACCATCCTCTTCAGCTCCTCGTCCCATCGCAACCACCTTGACACTACCCACACCATAATTGCCACGTTACATACTAGAGCGAGAACGTGCTCGCGCTTTCGCGGTCTACTTTTAGCCTCGCCAAAGGACAATGTGAGAAGGTCGTGAAAGTGCTTAGACGGCTAACCAGGCTGTTTCGCGCCCGCGCGCCCCCAACAGGAACAAAGACTCCGGCGTCGAGGGATTCCCCCTACGATCATGGTCAATTGAGATCTACCTGGTCAACGACCAAGGCGAGCAGGTCCCCGCAAACGTCTTCGACAAGGTGACGTACACACTGCACCCGAGTTTCGGCCCGCGGGCTGTTCAGAGTACGTTTTTTGCTTTTTTACCCTTTTGCCCACTTTCACTGGTTTCCCCCACCCCTTAAGTGGTGGGGTTTCTTTCTCGTCTCATCACGCCCTCATCTATCTAAATCCTCGCGTTTGCACTTGTGTGTCTATTTGTGCAGTGGGGAAGAGGGGAGGTTTTTTTCTTATATTTAGCGGCCTCTGCAAATATTGCGGGTGGCGGGGGCATTTCTCTGCTCTTAGCGGCCTTGGAAAATAAGAGGGAGAGGGATGTGTTGGGGGCAGAAAAACCCACCCAACATAGGATCTCCGCAAGAGTTCGTGATCCCATGGGCTGGCTGACACACGTTTCGTTTCGGGATTATAGCTTTCAAGAACCCTCCGTTCAGAATCTCCGAGGAAGGATGGGGTGAATTCGACATGCAGATCGGCCTGACTGCCGCCGACAAGGAGCATTTCGTCACCCACGACCTCAACTTCGCGCAGGCGCGCTACGAATCCAAGCACGTTATCGTGAGTGATCCTGGTTTGTTCCTCAGTGTTGAGATTGGATGACTGACGTGGGTTGTCCCCGGAAACAGACCTTCAAGAACCCTAAGCCTGCGCTGCTAGCGCTGCTGCGTGAATCCGGCCCTGTTCCTGGTGACGAGAACGGCGTCAAGTCGAAACGCGCCGCGGGAGGAGAGGAGGGGTCGAAGAAGAAAAAGAAGACGGAGAAGAATGTAATCCCAATCCCCCCCCCCCGCCCCTAACTTCGCCCCATCTTGCCGACTGTTGTCGTGGCCACTTAACTGATTTGTGTCAAGGTCGACATGGACAAGCTGGCCGATGGGCTCCAGCGTCTTGGCGAAGATGATCTTCTCCAAGTGGTGCAGATGGTCCATGACAACAAGGCTCCGGACTCATATACCAAGAATGACGTTGAGCGTGAGTTGCCCTCTTCCCCCCTTGTATATCAGCAACTAACCAAGACCCGATGGATCCATCATCGATAGAGGGTGAATTCCACGTCGACCTCTATACCTTACCCGATAACCTAATCAAGATGCTCTGGGATTTCACGCAGGAAAAAGGTGCTTTGTGATGTTGTTTCTGTTTGTTTTTTTTTTTTTTTTTTTTTTTTTTTTGTATCGGGACTCTTTTCTACTATTTTCTTGTCTCTCTTCCGACTACCAATTTTATTCGTCCGAATCTTTCCCTGATAAAACAAAACTTAATCATACCACTTTCTCTGCGTTTATTTTATCGTGTAACCACCCTTGGTCTTGTCCTGTCCTGTCTCGTCTCGTCTCTCGGACAATGGACTACACATCTGCCTGTGTGGCTTTTCCTTTTCCTTTCTTGCGATGGGGGTTCTGTTAGGGGTCGTTGCATTCAAGCTTTCTTTTTCGGCGAGAATAAAAAAAAATTTTTCTGGGGCGGTTTAAGAATCCATTTTCATTCAAAACTTGGACTGTCATTTCCGCTGGGATCGGGGATAGGGAGGATCTACCTATCGAGTCTGGTGATGGTGTTCTGGGTCGTTGAGACCTGGGTGTACTGTATTTTGGATGATACTGGGAATATGATCGGATGAGATGCCATTGCATGGACGCAGGGATGGTCATCGCCAGATACATGATGTATGTAGGCTAGGGATGCATGTAAGCTAGGCAACTGGCTCGTTCACTTCCCCTCACCGGAGTCGAATCCACGGTCTAGCGTAGACTATATCAGGCTCTTGGGGGATTGGACGGACTGCACAGCAGGCACGTTGGATAGTCGATTGAACCATAGCCACACTACATACAGTAGCCCTGAAACCACGACTCCACTACGTACGGTACTGTACAACTCACCCACTCTACATAGACAATAGACCTACTGTGTGTGGCCCAAGTCACAACAAAAGATCATCCGATTTGACCTGGACATGACGATGACGATGACGATCATAGGAATTAGAATAAGATTGATAATAATACATACATAGCCCAACCCTCGTACGCAAAGCTCCGACTCGACTCGGCGAAGAGCAGACACAAAACCAAACATGATGACGCAAGACACTTAACAAAAGACAAAAACTCATATCGTGACGAGAAAAAAACCATGGAGGATATCTTCAAGCTCAGGATAAATCAGACGGTAAGAGTAAGTGGACCCTGATAACACCATGACGAGAAAAGAAAAATTCTATATGCGAGCCCGGATTTTGAATTTGTGGCAAGAAAACGAAAAAGGAATGGATAAAACGCCCGCTTTGGTGCATTGCAATGCTGTGGATTGAGGAGAATTCGAGGTGGTGGGATGTTGGTGAGCAGAGGTGGGTGGGTGGGTCGAGGATATGATTGCTGGGGGTTGAATGAGGGATGAGGACATGTGCAGCGTAGCGTGAACGTGGATGGAAGTGATCGTCAGATTGAAAGTTGATGTGTTGCTTAGAGGATACGGTGCCTGTACATGGTAGTTGTGATTAGTATTGGGCTCTTTGAAATGATTGGGGAGGGGAATATAACATACATCTTCAACAAGTCCTCCAGACTGTCGGCACTCAGACTCCGTCCCTTGGGAATCTGGCGCATGATCTCGACAAGCGTGGCGAAGACATCCCCGTCGCGGTACGCCAGCAAGGCCGGGGCCTCGATGTTATCCATCTCTGCGATTTCGTGGTGCAGCTTGATGAAGTGAACCGTGGGCTGGCGGCGAGCAATGGTGTTCAGGCAGTCTTCGACGAGGGCACTAGGAGTAGACTTTTCCCCCAAGTTAGCTTGGCCTTCTGCAACCAATATACAGAGAGAAACATACCTCCGGATCATACAGACACACAACCACCACCGTCCCCGAAGTGACCTTCTCAATGGCATCCAGATACCCCACGGCATCCACATGGTCGACCGACCCATACAACCGGCGGCGAGGGCTGGGCTTGCGGAGCGTCCGGGCCTGCATCTCCTGCATGCGCGAGGTGCGCCACTGGCGCAGAAACCGCTCCTCGTCGTCGCTGCCCGACGACCCGTCAGGCGGGGAGGAATTGTGCAGCAGGGTGGCGTCGTCCGTGGTGGACTTCATCGAGTAGTGGGGTCGGTCAATGCCAGCGACGCTCAGCAGGGTGCGACGGAAGGAGGATTTGCGGGCGCGTTCGAAGGCCTGGGCGTCGGCGATGACACCCTTGGGGCCCGTGTTGGCGTCGTAGGTGGCATTGGGGATCTTGCAGCTGCTGGTGTTGCGGGAGTGCATGGCAGTGGATCTGTGGAGGTCTTCGTCGTCGTCGTCGTCTGCGTCGGAGAAATGAGGGCGATTGTGGTCTTCGTGATCGTTATCGTCGGACGATTGATCGGAGTCGTCTCGATCGGAATGATTGTCTCGGTCTTCAGGGTGAGTCGAGAACCGGTCTCGATTGTTCTGAAGGAGTTGATTGAATTCTTCTTGGGCGGCGGATGACATCTTGGAAAAAAAGAGGAAAAGAGGGAAAAAGGGACCAAGTGTCGGGGGGGGTCTTCCGGGTGTTTTAAAAGGAATGGGTCGTTGACCAGAGGAGCGAAACGATGATATTCTTAGAATGGGGGGAGGAAGACTTGGGCTGTGCCTGGATCTGCGTTGTCGTTCCGGGACGGGTTGGAATGGGCTAGATCGGATGCCCACTTGGGTTTTTCCCTTTGTTTGTTTTTTTTTTTTTTGTTTTAAAATTATGTTTTAAACTTCTGGGATGTTGTCCTCTTTCTGTCCGTGGGTTCGTGTGTTGTCGAAGGGGGGTGTGGTCTGGGCAAATGGGAGCAGCGGAAGAGGGCCGAGAGAGGAGTGAAGCCGAATTCGTAACCAACACGCAAGTGGTCAAAGGTCACGTCCCATAGGGCAATTGGGGTACGTTTCAAACGGTTTGACTTTTTGGAGGAGGGGCTGATGATGATGGTGGTGATGATATGATTATGGTTATGGATCTTGTGTCCTGGTCTGGGTAAAGAAAGGGAGAGATAGGATTAAGGTATGAGGAGGAGGAGGAGGAGGAGGAGGGGAACGGGGCGAAAGGGAGGATGGAGAAAGAGGGGGGAAAAGAAGAAAAGAGTGGCCGCAGCCAGTGGCAGGAAGAGGGAAAAAAAAATGAAACACGGTCCAGGGGGCGTAGTGTGTTTCAGGGCAGAAGATCAGCCGCCGCAGAACCTTCCATGCCTTCCTTCCCTCCGCCAGGATTGTCTTCCTTCTATTTACCACTCTGTATTTATTCCCGACACTACATAAATTCATAGACACAGTACCTCATGGTTCGTCCACCTTCGAAACACAACCCACCAAGCTTCAGGGTCTGTGTGGAAGAGATGAACTCGTCCCCAGCTTTTCCAAACCGGTTGGCATCCAACGGTCTGTGTACTGACTGTACATAACTATGCGATCGACTCCAACTCAGCCTTTACGACCACCGATCCACCCAACTACATCATCAGGTGTTTCACCTCGGGGTTGAACTCTGTTTGCCGAGTGAAAAACAACCAAGTATAGCAACATCGCCAACCACTCATATTCCTCATGCAGTAAGTGGTCAGCAGTAAGCAGTAAACAAGTAGAAGAAGCACAGTAACTTTCCGACGCAAAAGTAAAAAAAAAAAGTACGCAGTGCTCCGTACTGTACAGTACATAAGGGTCTGACACGTCCAATTTAAGGTTGCATGCAGTCCTCTCCGTACAGGACAGGACATGTCATGCTGCATAGTCGAGTCGCATACTTTTCCACTGCAGATGGGCGCAGCACCGAGCCTGGAGCACAGCATTCCATTTCACCTTCCATCCAATTTAACAATTGGCCTAATACATCAAGGGAAACAAAATAACTCCCCCAAAATAAAGGAAAGAATAATAAAAAGAAAAGGAAATCAACACCCTTGGAACAGAACACAAACACCAACCACCAACCACTCGAACAACACAACTCCATACCAAAGGATGGGGCAAACAGAGTCAAGCTTCGGTTCATCCCACCCGGTAAACCCGTTCCAGATTTCCATCGGACGCCCGATCCATGGATAAGGTGTGGCTCCTCCTCCTGCCTTTTCCCTATTCCCCTCAATTTGGGCAGGATCCATTGCCCGATCCCCTTTCCCCTTCCCCCTTTTTCCAAAGGTTTATGCAATCCCAAATTGGAGAATCGATGCCTGTTTCAATCTCAGGCTTCCGGCTGAGAGGAGAACGGTGGGAGAGCCCGGACTCCGAGCGTTGGGGATCCGGAGTCGGAACCGAAATTTCCTACGAACTCGAACTCGAACTCGAACTCCTCGTTTCTGTTTTGTTGCCGGGCCTCAGGATCCACTCGGTAGGAACCGGTTTAGAGCCTGGGTCGGATGATGTCTCCATTTGGGGCGGTGCGATGCAAGCTGAGTCTGAGATGGGATGATATCACCCGGTTGGGAAGTACTACTGCGCGTGCTATTTGTGGACGTAGATGATTTCATGACGATTCTGCCCCAAACAGGTCTATCTGTCTTCGCGTCGCACCGCTTGACGCCATCGTCGACAGTCGTTCTCTTCTCTTCTCTTCTCTTCTCCTCTGCATTACGTTGTTCCGCGTCACGGGTCACTCCGTCTTCAGCCTAAACCATGACGGTCAACCACGTCCAAGGCCTCGTCCGAGGGATCGAGTGATCTGATACAAAACGTCTCCAGAAACTAGGGCCATTGATTTGTCGTTTGTACGAGGAGTTAGTGGCTGCCTACCAGCTGAGTCTGGTTGTGCCTCGAAACAAACCGTGCACGAGAGCCGGCATCAATCCCTGCCATGGAAAAACATTTTGGAAATAGGCAAGACAATTCATAGAAGCACAAGATTTTGGCGGCGGATTGCATTCCATCCCATCCGCTGGGCGACACAAGACAAGAACCCGCTGGAAAAACACTCAACCGTTCGGAAACTATGTAAGGTGATTAGTATAAGAAAAAAGAAACACACACAATTCGCAATCAATCAAAACCGTCATGGCCTATCCGGGAAAAAAAAATAAAAAGAAACGGGGAAGAAAGTATCCCTTCCTTTTCCAGCCATCGCCCAAGGCAAGGAGATCAATGCGTAAGAAAGGAAAAAGGGTTAAGAAGCACAGGGGGAAAAATCGATGCGGAGAAACATGCACCAAGAAGATTCAGAACATAAAGGGTAGAGGACAAATGAAAACGTCACCAGGGTGGTTGGAATAAGGGGGAATAAGACGAAGAAAGTGACGAGAAAAAGAATCAGAATGCCTGCAAATCAAATCTTGGTGATGGGCCAAATCCGAGCCCATCGTCGCACTGATATCAGCGTAACAACCCCTCCAGAATCCCAATTATCAACAGCATTATTACAGTTCACCGCGCCCGTATCCGAGTATTGTGGTTTTTCGTGGTTGTGTGTGTGTCTTGTCTGCCGTCAGTGGTCCTCCTCACACACCTGCAGTAGTCAATGAGTGACGATAGCATCCATTGCGGGATGCCTGCCACCCGAACTGCCCCTTGGTTTTCGCTTCTTGTAACTGCGCCTGCGATCCGACTAGTACATTAAGCAGGCGCGGCACTAAATTGCTCCTCAGTGAATAAAAGATTATCGTACAGTGGCGGACATGGAACCTAGTGGCGCAGAAAATGATTAAGGAAACTTCGAATGAGGACGTCACGAAAGACTTGAGACAGGGTATCTTTGCTGTTTTTTTTGTTCGTTTTCTCGGTTTACCAGGCCCATACTTTGAGCTGCAGGACAAAAATGTCTCAGTAACTGGTACCACATCATTGAGGGGCAACGGAGCGACTTACCAAGGAATCCCAAGATCCAGTGCACAAGCTGATGCCATCATTGCTGACTCCCAAGCAGCTCACACGGTTCTCGTGGCCGCTCAAAGAGCCAACCTTATCCCCACGCAGAACATCCCAGACCTACCGGCCTCGTTAATCAACCATTCGAGAGTGAATTTATCCTGGATAAGGATAAAAGACGTACCTTGCACTCGAAGTCATCGTAACCAGCGAAGAGCAGTCTACCGGATACAGAAAATGCAACAGACGTGATACCGCACAATATTTGATCGCTCTGGAGTTCCCGTTAGTTTCCGCTTCGGCCGCGGCAGAGATAGAAAACGAAATACCTGGTAGGTGTTCAATTCGCGATCCGCGCGGATGTCGAACAAACGGCAAGAGGTGTCGTCGGAACCGGTTCCGAAGGCGTTTCCATCGGGGAAGAATTGAATGGCGTTGATGTCGGACTCGTGTCCAGCGAAGGTCTGAACGGCCTTTCCGGTACGGATATCCCAGAGCTTGGCGAAAGCGTCGCAGGCACCGGAAACAAAGATGTTCTGGTTGGTGGGGTTGATACTGATCGACATGACGTCGCCCAAGTGGTCGGCAAATTCGGTCACCTTAGAACCCGACTCAATATCCCACAGCATACAAGTCATATCTCCCGAGGAAGTGATGATGCGGCGATCATTGATGAAGCGACAGCAAGAGAGATAACCCGAGTGTCCGGAGAGCTCACGCGCGACCCGGGTCGGCCCTTCACGCGAGGAGAGGTTGTAGATGGAGCAAATGTTATCCAGACCACCGCAAGCAACGTAGTTTCCGCTAGGGGCGTAAGCGCAGGTCATCACCCATGATGACCGCAAGGGAATCGCATGAACCTTGTTCGTGGTGTAGGCATCCCAGATAATGAGCTTTCCATCCTGCGAGGCGGAGACGAGATGGCGGCGATCAGTCGACCAATGCATAGCGTAAATCTTAGCCAAGTGACCCTTGAGCGTTCGACGGGGTTTCATTCCAATGCGAGGTAGAGTTTCGGTCTGGTTTTGCGCGACTTGGCGGACTGTTTCACCGAGGTTAGTATCCGAGAGGCATGGCATGGTGCTGATTGCGCCCTTCGCAAGCTTTCAGGTCGGTTCACCCGATCAGGAACAGCGACGTCTGTGTATGAGGGAGAGGAGTGCGTACGAGTGGTGTCTGCCAGCTCATCCTTTCTGCGCTTGATCTTGTCCTTGAGACCCTCGGCTTCGCGCCGGGCCGCAGTGATCTTGGCCTGCATCTGTTCGCCGCTCATATCGGCTGCCATCTTGAATAAACAGGCCCCTGGAGAGGGTGGGTGTCAATGGGATGACGGAACGGGTCTAAAGAGTGGAATTGAGTTGGCCGAGGCAGGCGTCGGAAAATCCAGGGGACGGTCGAGACGATCGAGGAAGGAGGGGAGGGGGGGAGGGGGAGAGAGGGGGGAGAGGCGCGAGCGACAAAGGGCGATAGAAGAGAGAGAATGAGGGACAGAGATAGATTAGTGGAGTGGTGAGGTAGTCGGCGGTGGTCGTGGTGGTAACAAGCAAGGTCGGCAGGTGGAGGGAAGAGGAGGAGGAGTAAGAGGAGCAGGAGTGGAAGAGAGAGAGAGAGAGAGAGAGAGAGAGAGGGAGAGGGAGAGAGGGAGAGGGAGAACGAGGAGGGGGTTGATTGGGTGT